TGGTTTTTAAAACAATATGAGAAAACGCTTGGCTCAGGGATATTCTCAGGAAATTCAAAATTGCAAAATAATTGTCAGGATTTATAAAGCACCGTTCTTGAACTCAAATCACAAAAGCATAATCAATCAACTTTCGTTGCCAAGACTATATATGTCTAGAACACTAAATTCCAAATCTCTTTGCAAATTTATAAGTTCAGACATGCATTTAATTCAGGTTTGATAAGTTCACAAAATCCCTAAACCAAACCTCTTTGCGAATAGGTATTTTGCTCATCTAGATTATTTTCAGGAAATCAATAACACTTTTGTGTCTACCAATTAACCTAAGATCAGATTCTAGTTTGCTTTCACTACTATAGAACAAATTAACCACAATCTAGATGAAGAACTTTATTGATTCAGTCCTAACAATCTAACAACCTAACAATTCATGAATTCCTTTGAAAACCCTAAACCTAACAAGAAATTCTACTCAGACATGGTGAATGAAACAAACATCATGAATAAAATAGATATCATAAAAGAAAGTAATAGAAGAAATAAAGGAGTTATGAATCTTCTCTAAAAGAGGTATGGCTTCTTCTCTCCTGGTTCTCTAAAAATCTCTCTCTCTAAAATAAAGCTTCAGTCTTAACAAAACCCTAAAAACTCAATATATATGTCTTAACCACAAACTGGGCTTAATTGCAAATAAGGGAAACTTCTGGGCCGAATCTGCAAATCTTCTGAACTTCAATTAAGCATGAAATTCAATTGTCGTCAGATATTGGTGTCGATCGACACCAAAAATTGTGACGCTCGACACTCACACCAAATTTTCTCTCCCGATACGTTCCTTCGGCACATCTTCTCCAAATGCTTCCAAATGCTCCAATCCATGCCAAATAGCTCCTAATCCTGAAATGACTCAAAAAGACTCGAAAACACTATAAAAGCATTATAAATAAGACTTATATCATGGCCAAAAACACGTAAAACCCATGATATATCAATTACAGTAGTCATTGGTGCAGCCACTGTGCTGAAATTTCTGACAACCTCCTGTAGAAGCTTGCTAGTCCATGAAAAATACGGACGTGTCCAGTGGATGTTGGAGTAGGTCATTCACGGATCGCCTTGATCTTTTCTTCATCTATTTGTAGGCCATTTTTACTCACTACAAAACCTAAGAACACACACTTGTCAATACAAAATGAGCACTTCTTTAGGTTAGCATAAAAGCCTTCCTTCCGAAGCGTTTTCAAAATTAACTCTAAGTGTTTAATGTGATCAGAATAGCATTTACTGTAAATAAGTATGTCATCAAGGTAGACAACAAAAAATTTACCAATAAATGACCTTAGAACCTTGTTCATCAATCGCATGAAGGTGCTTGGTGCATTGGTTAGCCCGAATGGCGTAACGAGCCATTCATACAGACCTTGCTTGGTTTTAACGGCGGTCTTCCACTCGTCGCCTTCCCCCATTCGGACTTGGTGATAGCCGCTTCGCAAGTCAATTTTGGAGAAGATGATTGCACCATTTAGCTCGTCCAACATATCGTCTAGCCTCGGGATAGGATGTCGGTACTTAATGGTGATATTGTTGATTGCTCTACAGTCCACACACATCCTCCACGTACCATCCTTCTTTGGTACCAAAAGAACTGGTACAGCACACGGGCTGAGGCTCTCTCTGATGTACCCTTTGTCCATCAAGTCGTGCACTTGCTTTTCTAGCTCCTTAGACTCCTTCGAATTCATGCGGTAAACTGGTTTGTTAGGTAGAGCAGAACCTGGTACAAGATCGATCTGATGTTCGATGCCACGAATAGGGGGAAATCCTGTGGAATCTCCCCTTGAAAAACATATGTGTACTGATCTAGTACAGCACGTACGTCGGTAGGTAGTTCAAGTTCACCTAAACTTGTACTTAAACATTCTTTGAAAACCATTAGTAGCACGGTTCCCTGGGCACTCATGGTCTTACAAACTCGACTAGAACTTAAGTAAAGGTTAGAAGTCCTTACCTCGACCTCTTTGTTCATGTGTTTTTACAACTTATGAACTTCTGATGGACTTAGAGGGGCAAGGTTAAACTTACGGTCATTGTGGGTGAAAGAGTAGTGGTTTGTGCGCCCATCATAATTAGTAGCTCGATCGAACTGCCATGGTCTTCCAAGGAGAAGATGTCCGGCTCTCATTGGAACTACATCACAAATAACTTGGTCTAGGTACTTTCCAACGCTGAATTATACAGTCACTTGTTCAGCAATCTTCAGTTCAGCATCATCGTTCAGCCACCTAAGTTTGTATGGTCTTGGATGCTTTCTCTTTTGAAGACCTAGCATGTCTACCATATACTTGCTAGCAACATTAGTGCAAGAACCTCCATCAATAACCAAATTACATACCTTGTTATTGATTGTGCACCGAGTGTGAAAGATATTTTATCTTTGAACTTTCTCCTCGGGGTTGACATACACGCTCAGCATACGTCGGATCACAAGGAGTTCTCCTACATCAGGATACTCCACATCTTCCTCTGGATCATTCAGGCTCTCATCTTGCTCGTCTTCAGACTCATAGTCTCCACTAGGAGTGAGGATCATCACTCGTTGGTTTGGGCACTCTCTCGCCATGTGTACCCTACCTTGACATTTAAAACAAGTAATGTCACGGGTACGAGATTGACTAGTGCTAGGAAACTTACCTGGTTCGGGCTTGGTGATCTTAAGCACTTCGCTAGACGTAATCTTGAACCGAGAATCGTTGTCTATAGCCTTGCCTTTGTCCATGCCTCGGTTGTTACTTGCATTCCAAGGTGTACTGCTTCTAGTACGATTGCTCAGAGACATCTTACGCTTGATTTGTTGCTCCACTTGTACAGCCTTGTGAAATAGTTCATGTAGGCTGTTATACTTGGACATCTCCACTTTTTGGGCTATCACTCTTGGAACCCGTCAATGAATTGAGCCATCAATGACTCGCTGGATTCTTCTAACACCAAGGAGTTCATGAGCTTCTCAAACTCCTCAAAATACTTGTACATGGTCCTTGTTCCCTGAGATAATTTTCTAAAACGTTTTTGTAAGTCTCGATAATAGTGATCAGGAACATACGTCAACTTCAAGAGGTACTTCATGTCTCCCCAATTGTTGATGGGAGAAAATCTTCGTCTCCTCCTCTCGGCCACTGTCCTATCCCACCAAGATAAGGCGTTGTCGGTGAGTTGTGCCAATGCTAAGGCTACCTTTCAGAGTTCTCTATATCTATAACATTGGAATATGTATTCTATCCTTTTCTCCCAATCCATCTAAACCTCTGGATTTGATTTTCCTGCAAAAGTAAGAGGTGTTAGTTTAACATCTCGGTTCTGTTCACAGGTGTCCATCTCTCGAGCGCGGTTCCTAATCAATGGGTCTTCTATCCGCTGATGTTGACGCCTTAATCAATCAGGTGGTGGATCATCATCGTCATCTAGGTCAAGGGAGTCTTCTTCCTCTTCACGGACACTCCTTCGAGCCTGAACTGGTTCAACTTCAGCTATGGGCTGAGGCTGCTCCAAACGACCTATCCTTTCGCCAAGCCCTTTTAGTTGTTTTGATAGGGTTTTCATCATGGCATCTTGGGGTATGGCAGCATGTTCTCCCATTGTGAGTGTCTAAAAGTATCCTGCACTTAGACAAAAACAACAAAGAAATCAACGTACCACAGAAATCAAAAATGAAATCTTTAGAAACAAGAAACTAACAATCGCTGATGCACTTGCTGAATCAAACAAGAAAATGAAAACTTTTTTTTTTAAATAAGCTTTAAGATACTTAAACAATACTAGCTGACACAAAAATTTAAAAGCGAAATAATGTTTTTTTTTTCTGACGAAAACTTTGAACTAGTACAGAAACTAAATCAAAGACTGAAGCAGACGATTTAAGGAAATAATAGTGACGATTTTTTTTTAAGGACAAATAAAACTAAACAACTATAGAAACAAGACTGCAGCAAATTAGGGTTCTTATTTTATTTTATTTTGAAAATTAAATAAAACAAAACTAGAAATCAAAACTATCGAAAGAAGATGGAAAAGGTAAACCTGGCAAGGGAAGAGCGTGAACTACGCTTTGATACCAGATGATACAAGACTCGGTGGTGAGCTTGTATTAGGATAGATATGATGGCTTCACAAGATGGCGGTCGGTTCTCTCTTGTGAAGGAAAGATGGTCGTTGATGTAGATCTGACACGATGATGGTCGCTTCTCTCGTGTGGGATCGAATGAAGGGGAAGTGCTGGCGGATTGAAGTACACCACAGAGATGTGATTGGTCTCTGATACAGTACACGATCTTAGCCTTTTTTAATCACACACACAAGACAAAGAACAAGCTTATTCTCTTAAGGACACTTAAAGAGAAAAAGTGTAGAAAGTTCGGTTCTTAATTGATAATCAAGGATAAAAACTCGTACAACTGCTGCAGGGGAATTTTATAAGAGTCCTTCAGCTAGCCCTAAGGCCGAAATAAATGTAAAAATGCAACAAAGAAACAAATAAAACTACAAACACAAATCCATTGTTTTTGGAAAGAAAATAAGTAAAATACTAAAGCAAACTTGAAACCTTGTGATGAGCACGTCTTCTAGCCGTTGTTGGGGCTTAATGGACCTACAAATATCAAAAATATTAAATAGAACTTACTTGGATGCGATCTAGGCCCAATAGCTGTTCTCTGAACTACGTCTTGTACTACTTCAGGAGTCTTGTCAGGTGCCCGTTTGTTTGTTGGTTTCTTGAAGTAGATGGCTTCTTGGAATTTCTCTTGGGTAGCTTAATCAGTCTCTTGAAGCTCTTCCAAGTCCTTGATGTCTTGTTCTTGATCTTCACTCTCTCGATCACTCTCAAAGGTGAAGCTTGTTTTGCTCGTCTTTTGTAACTCCATTGTCTTCTCTTGGCTTCTAGAGGTTTCTTGACCTGTCATAGGAGAATTTATACATGGGGAAATTTTATGTTCAAGACTCATTTAGGTGAATGCTTCAGCAAGCTCTTCCTCGGGGATGGGATCATATCCATCGTGATGGAGTAAAGGTGGTACAGACCAGTTGACGTAGTTCAGCTCTAGTGAGATCACAATGTCTTGTACAGCTAAGTTGAACTTCTTTCTAAGTTGTTTAGACTTTGAACGAGTCATGGGAACTTCTGGGACGACTGGTACAGTGTGTGGTACATGATCTGGTACCTGATCTAGTCTAGCGGGTTGGACAGGATAATCGATGTCCGCATCAAAATAGCACCTAATAAATACTCTAGCAAGTCACCACCAAGAATAAATTAATGCTTGGTTTCACTTTTGTCTGGACCAGGTATTAGATTTGAGATAAGAGATTCGTTAGCATATAATAACTACATTAACAGCTAATAAATACGTTAACAAGTCACAGCGACGAATAGAGGAAATCACTGGGTTGACTAGGTTGTGGTTTAGGGTATATATTTAACATAAGTAATGAGTTACCTTGTTTTAAGAGCTTGAGCAAGACACAATGAAATTGTCAGATAATATTTTAATTTAAACCAATGGTGGACATCAGTTGCTTAAATTTTTTGTGGATTATGCCAAAACTTATAAATTAGGTTAATTAATATATTTTCTTCAGTATATATGCTAATGGGAAGGATTTCCCTATTTTGTATCTTATACTCGTTTGGTGTATGTGCCAAGGTTTTTAATAAACTTTAAGCTAACTTTTGAAATTAATTTAGGGGACCAAACTTCATTTATAATATAGTACTTAAAAAATATTGTTTTGCTAAACAATTCTCGAGTAGTGAGCATTATTTAGCCAAACACCGATTTTGAGTTACCCATACTGGGAGCAATATAGATAATCATACATATAATGGGTAGCAGGGATCGACGACCTATTTCCCCCCGATAACTATCACATCGTATCATAACACCACAGAACTTTGACCTCGTACTCAACCCGATTAGAGAACTAAACCAACCTGATTAGAAAAATTAACCTAAGAACCCAAAATCGTTTCAGATTCGTGGTGTTAAACCTGGGTTTGAAGATGATTCTTGTTTGATTCGATGTTACTGATGCATTTTCTACTTTGATTTGCAGATTTTGTCTTTGCTTTTGGAACGATTTACGAATCCAGATTTGTTGAATTGTCACACGCAGGTTCTGATTTTGTTTTTCATGATTTGATTCTTTTAGACTCCGTTAATGTTGGCTGCGATGTATGGAAGGATCTCTTGTGTGAAGAAAGCTAACTGAAGTTGGAACTAATGTATATTTTTTTTTAATCAAGTTTGGGATTTGGATTTTGAACATATTATGGACATGCTAACTGTCTCTTATCCTTTTCTTGAATTCTTGATCAGTTTTCAATCAAACTCCTTGGATGAGAAAGAGATGATAAAGGAGCGACTCCGTTGAATGTGTGAATGTGTTGCTGGACAGTGGTTCTCTCGTTTGTGCAGCTACTAGTGTATATGGGTAATGGTTTCTCTCTTCATGCAACATTTTCCATTAAAACAACATTTGCTAGAAGTTGGAACTAATTCTCTAAGCTTTTGTTGAATCAACATTCGTTAAAAGTACACCAAAATCAATTTGGGGATTTTGATTCTGGGTTTTTTTGAAATTAAGGGTTCTTGAGTCAAGGTGAGTTGGTCTCGGGTCGGGTTAAAAATGAATCGGGTTTAAAATTTGTTATAAACCGTGTTTCATTGGTTTTGTATCGGGTTTGGTTCAAAAACCATGTAAACCAACGCAATTCGAGAAATAGAAATAGAACTTTCGATTCGGGTGGAAATAGCAATAAAACTTTTGATTCGGATGGTTTAAGGACGAGATCAAAGTTCTGTGGTGTTATGATACGATGTGATAGTTATCGGGGGGAAATAGGTCGTCGATCCGGGTAGCAGATTAGTTACTTTATACATTGCAAAATTCTTGTCACGACCATCCCGATTATTTCTTCTGCTTCATTATTTTTACCACAAATCTTAGTTTGGTCTGTCATATTCACAAAAAACGAATTCCTCCTTCCATCTAAGGCCCATGTATATACGTTAACAATGTGTTAATAGAGACCCACTGTTCACTATCTCATATTGTAGTCTACGAGTTTATTACCGAAAGTGGACCTCTGCACGTAGCCCTGTTGTGCCCTAGAGCACGGCACCTGGTACATCTTCTACTCGAAGTTCTCTGTTGAAAGATCCAATCTAGAATATGTTTTTAGCAGTGTAACCAAATATTTATTCTGTAATACTTAGATGGGCATGCTAAACTTACCCTAAATTCTCCCCTTGAAAAAAGGCTTCTTCTCCTCGGCCTGCCTGGGGGCCTCCTGACAAACGGAGGGCCTAAGACCAGGATTATCGGTGGTCTCTTATCAAAAAGAAAGAGATTTTTAAGCTTTTTGAATTAAAATTAAATAGAAATCAATGCATAAACATAAGATACGTATCTTCATCAAGAGACATATTTTGCTCTAAGAGGCGCCACGTGACATATTTTGTTTGGTTGAAGACAAAAAAAAAAAAAAAACATTTCGTGCTTTCTCTATTCTCTTCCTCTCTCTCTCTTTCTTTCACCTGAACGTGATGGTTCCTCTCTCTGTTTTATTCACACTATATGTTTCATTCACATTTGTTATACTCAAATCAATACAAACTCTATTTCTCTTTTGTTCTTACAATTTGAAGAAGCAAACCCAACCATTCATATTTTTTTGTGCGTTCAACTTCATAAGCCAAACCCAATTCTTGTACGTTCAACTTCATAAACCAAACCCAATTCATATTTCTTGCTCTTTCAACATCATAAACCAAATCCAAGCTAAGCATAAATAATTGAAGATCGATTTGGTCGAACATATTTAGAGTAAATTTTCTCGCAATCAAGTTTAAAATTATTGTACTTTATGTTATAATTTCTATCTTATGTATGTTTTCAAATTCTAAATTTGCAATAATTATGAGATTTTTTCTTAAATTACATATTAGAAATTTATTTAATTTAAAAAAAAAGAAAATTTCTAAGATACCCAACTTAAGATCCTACCAATAAACACGTCTCAAAACTAAAAATAAAATTAAAACTCTTAAACTCAACATTTTCAAATTTAATACTAAATCAATGCTAAGATACCCTATTTAACATTCTACCTATAATGTTGCTCTAAGGTGTTGATTGGTTCTCAATCTCCCGCTCTCACCCGCTTAGCGGTTGCTAGCGGGCGATTGCGGTTGTTAGCTTTTCCTCCCCCTACATCGTTTGGAGAGGGTGCAAGATTTTCCATGTCTGGGACTAATCTCTCCGTAACATGACCTTAGGTTGGGAACAGTGTGTGTAACACCCACCAAAGTGTCAAATCTAACACCTTCTTGGATGGCTGCAGCGATAGCGTGACAACATGGAATGGTTAGCAACTGGAACTCACGACAGGTGCAGGTTCTCTCCCATAGATGGCCAACGAATGCTGAGTCCTTGGTGTCATGAACCTCATATTGGCCATATCCAATCTTTATAACCAAAAAACCAGCATCCTTATGATAATTCTCTATCACCATCTCGTTGACCTTCAGTGGTAAGATGTTATCCTTCACCCTAGCTGCTTCCCTGCGCAAGGCTAACCAGGTCACTAAGGTTGTACGGATTGTCTCCAATATAGAGATCATCGGGTAGTCCCGAGCTATTGTCAGGACATTGTTTAAAGACTCAGTGATGTTGCTGGTCATGACATTGTAGCGCTCCCCAACAAAGTGGGATCTGGTCCAGTGTTCAAACCTAATTCCGGTGAGGTAGTCCGCACATGGTCCGCTCATAGCCCGTATCTCACCAAATAATGTGTTGAAATCCCTAAGCCGGTATGCTCTCGTCGCGCTCGAAACCAAATAGCTAAGGGCTTCAGATTTAAATATCGCAAGAATGTTTCGCTTCAGGTGCACAACACATGCCCGCATGCGAAGCCATCAGATACACCTGCATAAGTGCAAGTTTTTTTTTTAATTAGCATATAATATATGGTTTATCGGAACCACATCAATTCGTTAAACTCTTGTTGTCTTAACACTTCTTGAAACTAACCATATGAACAAGCACGCTTACAGGTTCTTACCAGCAAAATATGTTGGTTCCCTTCAGGCAGATCAAATGTTGTAACATATCAACAAGTTTGTTTCCTTATATCATTTATATAGTTCCCTAGCAAGTAACTAGTTTATTATCATACACTTGTTTCGATATCCAAAAAAATCCATGTTATTGAATCTTTAACATATTTTTTTGTATTCGTTTATCCGTTACATACTAACATATTATGTAATTAGATTATTAGTCTGTTATCTGTACATATGTAATGTTATCACATAATTATCTTATTAATTATACTTTCTTAGCTATTATATTTTACTATATCATCTAATTATATCATTATCAGATAATCCAGTTTTCTAGCTATACATATGCAATGTTATTCTATAATACGTTAAATCTTTTCACATATCACATTTTTTGTATTCGCATATGCTTTATATCCGACAACAAGTTGGCATTTTAATTTGTTATTATCTAGTAATTTGTTTTTTAATCAGACAAATTCATAGTTAAACAGCCAACAACAAAAAAGTTTAGCTATAAAAGGTTTGCATCTTTATATCGACTACATCTGACCCTAGCATGTAACAAGTTAATTTTCATATAGTGTTTGAGTTAACTAGCCAGTTGCAGTCGTATACAATCAATTGCAAGGGGAAAATGGAATTTACCTTACGGATGCTTGCAAAGATCGAAGAATGGCGATCCGACACGATAACAAGATCTGGGTCGTCTGGAATCGCGTCCGAAAGTTTCTCCATGAACCAAGTCCAGGCTGCATCATTCTCGCTGTTCACTATCCCAAACGCGATTGAGAATATTTGGAAATTTGCGTCTTGCGCGCTCGCTGCGATCAAGCAACCTCCATATCGCACTCGGAGATGGGTTCCGTCGATGACAATGACCTTCCACATAAACGAAAATCCTTTAATTGATGCACCTAGGGACAAGAATAGACACTTTAACCTCTCCACGCTGTCAGCCCCAGGTGATGTTTCCAAATTGACCAATGAGTTTCGATTTGACTCCAATAGAAGCTTGAAGTATGGCTGGATCAGAGCATAGCTCCCCATGGCTGATACCAGAGCATTTTCCATGGCGATTTCCCGTGCTCTCCACGCCTTCCAGTAAGAAACGTTCAAGCTGAACTCCTGCCTCAAAATCTTCCGTAACTCATTAGGTCGTGGTCCCCTTCCTACGCCAACATATTTCGTCCTCATCAGCTTCCCTATAATGGTGGTTGATGCCATCTTATGGAAGTCGCCTCTTGCATCAACGCTACATGTGTGTTGTAGTATGGCTGTCCGTACTTCGAATATTTCACTCTCTTCCAACTTTGTTGCATAGACCCTCCATGGACAGGTATCGCTCATGAACACAGCAGCCACCACCTTTGGTGTTGATGTAGGAAGAATGAAATGGAATTTCCTTCTTATAGCATGTATTGCAAGTTTTGTAGTACAATCCTCCTTTTTTTTTACAACCTCCCAACAAAAACATCATCACCTTCATAGTCAGCATCTTTCAAGGCCCGTCGCAGATAATCTGCCATTGGAAGATATTGTGTTTGGTTAGTAAAATATATAAAGTATTACGTTATTAATATATCGATAACTTCGGTCTTATAGTAATAACCAATAATGTATTCGTTAATACCTTCTTCTCCAGGATCATCGAAATAAGGAGGTGCATCCATATCGTATAAGACCGTGGGAATGGGCGTATCATGAACTCTGCGCATATCTCTTGAGTTATTATAGGCGGGGCGGAGTAAATTTGTGCTTCCTGTTCTCCTCCTACCTAGCCACCCTCGAGCATTATACCCTTCCCCTTGTCTATCCGCGGTGTCTGTATCGGAGTTACGCAGACTGGTGCCTCTGGATCTGAATAGTATTGAGCTAACATGTTACTATCTGCGAAAAGGAAAATATCGGTTAATATATGTTATACTCGATAAAATGAATGATATCGGACTAATAATCCAGTTAACTTACCAATTACATAATCCAGATCTGGGTCGGTAGACAGCTCCTTTGAGGAGAAAGAGACACTTGTAGATCTTGGAGTAGGTGTTCGAAACATTGAACCGCCTGAAGATATCGTGACCACGTTGGTGTCGCTTCGTTCTCCCAGCTCACTAGCGAGTCCATGGTTGTCTTTGTTGCTGCTTGATGCATTTGTTGGCTGGCTAACACCAAAATCTAACATCCTCGTCGTCTTAACACCGTATTCGTCAGCACCAGTTTGCCCATTTCCCAGGGAGATTTGAGTCGCACACACCTCTCTCCATAACTCTGCTTGGTATTGTTTCTTGAATATCTCGTAGTCCGCGTCTGTGACAATATCGTTGAACCCCATCTTCTGTTTATCCTTGTCTTTAGGCACCTCTCGAAGCATTTTTGATCTATGTTGGGGAAGCTGATATGCGAACTGAATCGTTCTGGCCATGATCAGATATGACTATGCGGCCAGCCGCAGGTCTTAGTGGGCCGTAAAGGCATGTGGCCCTTCGATATGTAATTCCGGGTCTTGGCCCACTTACTGCCCCCTCTGGCATATCCAGTAACATTTTTGTTATCACACTGGTCCACGCAGCCTGTGTATCCGTGTTGTTTTAGTATATGTCTGAGATTTTAGCCGAACTCCGGCCAGCTGGGTTGAACGTTGGTGGTGGCTTATTCATCATATGGGTTTCACAGCTCGTGCCTACCCGTATAACCTTCACTCTTAGGTACACCTCCTCTAGGTCCGCCCATATCGCCATAAATAGAGTCATGTCTTCTTGGATCTCTATTGGACCTGCCCTCTTCCATTCCGGCTCCATCATCCATTGCGGCCACTGGTATGTCAGCTCCACCTTATCTTCTACTCCAAGTTGCAATCGTGCTTTAACAGATTCCGTCATGGTCTTGAAATCATCTCTCTCGTATTCTCACAGCTAGGCAGTAACCTTGAAAATCCGCAATGTGTTCGTAATCCCCATGCTCGTTCAGCCGCCACTCGCCCCGAGCTAACCGGACCACAAGCGCCATCTCGTAACTGAATATAAAAATGAGTAAGTTAGTCTTTATCGAGCTCATCCTATAATTATCGTAAGACTTTGACAAAAACTGCTAAAGTAGAGAAGCATTGAATACCACTAGATTGTAGCAATAACGAAAACAAAACCTCCATAAATTCATACCTGAACCTTTATGTCTCTTTGTATTTTGTTGTTCATCAGTATTAAAAGAAAGCGTCGTGTAACTGGTTTACTTGTCTCAGAGCTGTGTTGTTGAGACAACTCAGATATCGGTGTAATAAATAACCAAACGTATAACATACATTGTACCGTATCAAAAACAACCATTGTTTCTTCTCCAAAATCTTCCTCCTCCCAACGTCGGCGCGTCAGAAGATTTTCAAGATAGCGTGTGTGTAGTCTGCAGCCTAGTCTAGGTGTCTGAAAAAGCTATTATTTGTTTTAAACAAATCTAGTTTGGGATAGGGTAGTAACTTGCGATGTCAGTTGCAGAGAAAACTTTTTTTTTTTATCAGTGTCCAAAATTTGGTTTCTTCTTAATCTGGGTATATACATTTCATAAGCCCTTTTTCCCACTACATATATTGAATAACAAATACTATTAACTAGATTTTACCCCGTGGTACACCACGGGGCTAGTATTTTATGTATATTTTTAATGTAAAACCTTAACCGTTATAGTTTATATATACGTACCGTTATATACAAAGTTCGTTTAGCATAGTCTTTTGATTGCCAACATGAACAATGTATCCTTTATGGTTTATATATATCAAAATTATGCTAGATGCGCACATGCGCTAGAGCGGTAGGAAAATTTTTTGGTCTTTTTTGTTAAATGAAAATATATATTTACCTTGTGGTACACCGCAAGTCCATTTTTTCAAAATTTATATGTAATATTCGTGTTTTTGTGTAATATAATGATTGAGTTTCTTTAGTGATTAATCTAAATGTTATAGTGTTATAATACAAAATTATAATATAGTTGTATTTGCAGACAAAATTATTTGTTAATGAATTCATATGGGCTGGATTTTAGAAGAATTATGAGTATCATATGTGTATTTTTAATATAGTGAACCTCATATTTGTTAAAATAATATATATATATATATATATATATATATATATATATATATATATATTTATCTGTGAAGGTATTTATATTTGTGACGGAGAAAAGTATATATTTATAATATGTAAGACTTAATACAACTCATTATTCGATATTTTTCAGTTACATTTAAAATAAATATAAGTATTTGGATTTTATATAAAGTTGGTATTGATGGTATTAACAAAATTATAAAATGATCATTTAACCAGAGCTCTATGATATTTCAAATTTATAATAATAATACGTCCCACCATGTAACCCCGTTCTATGATAGTTTAAACTTTTTATACACATACAGTATTAATCTGTTCATATAGCTGAACTAAATAATAATCTTATAAAATCTAGAATGTACACAAACTTACCAAATTGTTAATATAATAATTTACCTTTTAATTAAGTAATTTCACTAATTACCGCGTACTTGGTAAACCATAATATAAGGAATTGTTTGTAATTCAAGATATGGAAATATAATCTTTCTGTTTTTTATAGTTATTAGTTCATTAATTTTTGAAAAAGAAAATGGGGTGCACAAAAAATAAAAAATAAATAAAAAAAAAGCAGGAGAAAGAAACATCATACGTGAAGAAATTAATTTAAATATTTCATAATAATTTCTTCAAGTTATCGATCATTCTAAGTGAGTAGTGAGTATAGTATAACACATTTCTGTGTTTTATGTGGTTTGGTATTTGAATGGTTAGATTTGGTATATGTGTGTAAGTTTTGAGTTTTATTTGAATCAGTAAATTAGTTTATATTTCCTAGAGTTTATCGATTTCTAACTAATAAATATAGGAAATCCAGATTTGATATTAATCTTTTTAAAAGTAGAATAACCAATACGTATGTTTCCAAATAAATAAAATCAAGAATATATGGTTGTATTATGATCCGATTTTTATGCAATATTATGTTTAATTTATTCATAAAGTTTCTATATCTGTTTAATTACCATATCAATTCGGAATTTAATAGGTTTTCAGTGATTAAAATAGGAAATATAGTTTTTGGTTTTTCAAAGATCCGATTAACGAAATCGGGTTTTAAATTTTGATTTAAAACCGACCCAACATCCAAGATTACAAAATTAGCCTTAATGATCTTTGGTTAATTGTTTAGAAGTAAGGATATTTTTTGTCCAAAATATTTTAGTAAAGGGTGGTCAAAAAAATGGTTGCAAAAATAATAAGATAGATTATTAAAACACACCAAAATATATACACAGTAACATCCATATTATAACCAAAAAAATTACCATGAGGTAAATTTTGTAATACAACAACGTATATATAACATAGTAACATTTATATTAACTAGAAAAATCAAATCACTAAACTAATTAACTTATTTTAATAATTAATTATAAAAAATAGATCCGTGGTGTACTATGGGGTAAATTTTCTATATTTCGGACAAAATCTTTTGTTCAGCAAAAAAAGAAAAATTTGATGATCCAGTCATTTTAGATCGGCAACAATTAAGATTGTGTAAACGTTGAAATGTTAATTTTGTGTATGTACGTTTCGCTGTTAGTTACAGTAAACCAAAGACACATTATGCATCGGGGCCATTAAAAAATAAAAATAAAACTATCTATATTTATGGAAATCGTTTTAATTTTGTTACCATAAAAATTGGACAGTTAAATTCGAAATTAAACATACGTAAACAGATTTAATATTACTTATATATTTTACAGAATATAAACTTAAAAATAGAGTTAAAAATATTTGAATAAATATCTTAGTTAAATCAATAATTAAAAATTTGTTGGCTAAAATCATGCAAAAAATAGATATCACATAAAATCTCTTATTTTCACATAAATTTTCATACTAAAAAAGCAATCTCGAAAATATAGCACAAAAACTAAAGAATTTGAAATATAGTGATTAGATAAAAAAACAAAATCCAAGTTTTTAAAAATTATTCAGAAATACAGAATTAATTCAATCACCCTAATAACAAGCACTTGGCATAACCAATCCATAATTAGAAAAATATTGAATACGATTATTATTTTTCCTAACTATAATGCGATTTCAAATCTACAGACTATCAAAAAATAAAAAAAATAAAAGTTTAATTACATCATAATAGTT